CACAAAGAGAAAATGGCAGCAAGCAGTAGGTGAGGATGCAGCAACATGGTGCCCTTTCATACTGCTAGTGGCAATGAAAGCTTGTACACTCACTATGGAAAGCAGCATGGATGTTCTGAAAAAAATGAATCCTGCTCTACCACTCCTGTGCAGCAGGCTTTTTCTTTTGGGCCACCAAGCTGCTCCCAAAACATGACACAGAGACTTACTCTTCATTTTGAATGCTTGGCCTTAGCTTAGGCTTGTTTCTTCCTAGCTCTTATAACTTAACCTGTTTCTCTTCATCTACATTTTGCCTCACTGATTTTTACCTTTTTGTATATCTCATATTGCTGCTGCCTCATGTCTGGCTGGCATGTCCCAACTTTCTCCCTCATTCTCTCCTTCTCTCTCGAGTCTGGATTTCACCTCCAACTTATTCTCTCTGCCCACCAGCCCTACCTATTCTTTCTTTGCCTAGCTATTGTCTGTTCAGCTCTTTATTAGACCAATCAGGTGTCTTAGGCAGGCAAGCTGAAACAGCAACATATCTTTACATAGTTAACAAATGTAGCACATCTTTATATCATTAACAAAGGCAGCATAAAAATATAACATACCTTCACATAGTTAAATTAATATTCCACAGCATAAACAAATATAACACATTTTTGCCCAGTTAAACTAAAACTCTACAACACTCCTGAGTGTATACATGAAGGAATCTAAGAAAACCACAGAGATACCTATACATCCACAATACTGAAGCAGTATTCACAATAGCAAAGATGTGTAACCAGCCCATGTCCTATAACAGATGAAAGGGTAAAGGAAATGTGGTATATATGCATATGCATTGTTATTCAGCCATAAAAATGGAATTGCACTATTAGTCATAAAACAGATGGGAGTGGATATCATCATATTAAATGAAATAAGCTACACTGAGAAAGGAAAATATTACATTTCCTGTTATATGTGAAATTTAAACTTAAATACATGTAAAATTAATTTATAAATAGTAGTATATGGAAGGAAGGGGTCTAAAAATGGGAAAGTGGAAGAAGGAAGGATAAGACAGAAGAGAAAAAGCATAAATGTATAACTGATATAATAAAATTCAAAAAGTATAAATACTAGAATTTTTAAGTATGAGAGTTTTCATAGATCTGCATAAAAAATTCAGATAAACATACAATTTTACATGCTACTCTTTCTAAAACTTTCTCAAAATAACTGTATGTTCCCATAATGTTACAAAATAGTACAAAGAATGTCCCCCTGTTCAATACAGTACACTGTCACATGGCTACCACCCAGGTCACAGAATTCAACTGGCTTCTTTTCTTTTCTTTTTTTTTTCATTTATTTATTCATTTATTTTTACAGGATCCCATAGTTAAAAGCCTTTAAATTTTTAGGACATAAATTTTGGAGTTTTACATAGACTTTGGATTTTAAGATACTGGGTATTTTTAAAGTGTTTAAACTTGTAAGACTATGGCACTTTTAAAGTTTGTAAGATGTTTTAATTTGTGATGTCTTTATTAATGTGTGATCTTACAGATGAACAAGAAAGGAAAGGTTGTAGCTTAACAGTGATGTGTTTATGTGTCAAGTTGACAAGGAATTAGTTATCTAGCTAATTTTATGTCAACTTGGCACATGCTATAGTTATCTGAGCGAAGGAAACCTTTATTGAGAAAATGCCTCCATAAGATTGAGCTATAAGCAAGCCTATAAGGCATTTTCTTAACTAGTAATTGATGAGGAGGGTCCAGCTCATTGTGAGTGGTGCCATCCCTGCACTGTTGGTCCTGGGTTCTATAAGAAAGCAGGCTGAGCAAGTCCTGGGGAGCAAGCCAGTAATCTGTATCAACTGGCTTATTTTCAACCTTCATTTATGTGTGTGTGGGGGGGCAGGGGTGGGTGGGTGCATACAGAGTTCTGTGTGTGTGTGGGGAGCCAGTAATCTGTATCAACTGGCTTATTTTCAACCTTCATTTATGTGTGGGGGGGGCAGGGGTGGGTGGGTGCATACAGAGTTCTGTGTGTGTGTGTGTGTGTGTGTGTGTGGGTGCATACAGAGTTCTGTGTGGTTTGATCCTACGTGAGCAACTGGATAAGCTGCCTGCAGAGCTCTTCCACCAGAATTAACACCTATATTTGCTCCCTCCAATCCCAGCCTTTCCTTGACATATACTCATCTGCTGCCTTTCTGCTTCTTTCCTTTTAAAAATGGTGAACATCTTCCTAGGGCAACACTTTTATTGTAGTAACTCATATAATTCTTTCTACAATTCTTTACTAAAGTGTAAGTGATATACAGCAAGTTGCATAAACATAAAGTGTACAAACTGATAGCTTCTGGCATTAGCAAACACCCTTAACCCACTACAAAAACTGAATATTTCTAATAGATATTTGGTAGTACTTCACTCTGGTTTTATTTGTATTTCTCTATTTCACTAGCAAAAATATTTACTGAGAATATAGAAATAAATCTCCTTTGGAAACTAGGGTATGGTAGTTGTTTTTAAATATCAAGCAAAAGTTGAGGTTCTAACACATTTTCTCTAAAAATATTTCCAAATGTTCAATATATTGGAACTTAAAAGATTAATATATCTGTTTTAATAGCAATCTTTAGTCAAAGCATTTCAATTCAAATTTTATGATTATGCATAAATTTTGAATTTTGGAATATCAATTTGATTTGGAAAATTCAGTTGTTATCAAACCAACTTTCCTATGACTCAAACAAAATTCTGTGGCAGTCAGTTTTTATTACAGTGAAATATCAAATTTCCCTGTTACTCTAGTCAAACAGGTTTCTAGATTGATACTCATTCTAAATTATTAAGTAAATCTGAAATTTCCCTAAGATTCAATGTATGTTCATTACTTACCGAATCTCGTTTAAGAAAAGTTGATGAGTCCTCACTTAGGAAGGGTCTTGAGGCAAGAATGTCTATTTTGCCTTCCAGCCTTCCCTCCATGGTTTTAATAGCATTTAAAAGAGTCTTTAGAGAGATTCTGGAGTCTTTAATCTCCTGAGACATTCTCATAGAAGGCAAGGTAGGTGCAAAGCTCACTCGGCGTACTGAATTTGGAATGACATTGGGCAAGGCAACTGCTTGAGCTCTTTCCTTAGTATTACTGACATAAATTCTCGAGCCATCAAGGGATTTAGAAGACATGGGCCTCTCTGGAGATCTCCTTCTTCTTGGAGGCATCACCAGTTACAGGTTCCAGAATTAAGTAAACCTAAGACTTATGTTTCAAGGAGTACCCACTTTTAGTAAGGCAAATGGCAGAATGTTCCAGAAGAAACTGGAAAATGTATTCCTTGGCTGAAAGAATGAAAAGATCACACCGTTCTCTATGACCCAATGAAGAAACAGGCTGTAGCCCGAGCTTCCTCAGAAGAGTCTAAAGAGGGCCTCTTTAGAACTTTGTGACCTCACCATGCATCAATAAAGTCAGCTGGTTAGAACCCCATGGGGATTCCATTTGAAGACATTCTAGTACTATGGTTTCTGGGAGTATATGTACACAAACACCATAGACACAGAGCTTTCCATGTATACTAAGAGTTAAAGACTTTTACAATGATCTAATTTACATATATAGTAGACTTGTAATCACTGAACTGAGTTACTTTAAGTAAAATATTCATTTTCTATATTTACTAAGCAGTTTCTATATTTTGCTTTTAACTTTACTCTTTTATAGAAATGTTATGTGACCTACAACAGATGTCAGCCTTTACAGGCACATGCTGACAAGGAAACCTCTCCACTATCATACCTCTTTCAGGTGAGCTTCTGTCTGTTGCAGATATGCCTTGCTGACACTCAGTTCTGAGTTTGCCTACAATTCAAAAAACAACAATACTTGTTCCTCACATTTGCAAAAAAAAAAAAAAAAAAGTTAAGGTTTGAATTAAAAACAAAGCTAGAGATTTTAGAACCCATGAACGTATTTCATAGCAATGCTTCTATGAGTGATCATGGAACAACCTATTTTCTTCTGAAAGACATAGCTTTCTATTCTGCAACAAATTTCAATGAATGCTATATTCAAAAACACCAAGCATATTGAGCAGTCTAATTTTGTGGAAGACATCTTTATGATTTCCCCTTCTGTCTCACCAGAAGCTTAAACTGAATTAAGAGAAAGCATTCATCTTCCTAGGATTATTTGGGGAGGTGGGAAGAAAGGCACCAAGCAATGCCTTAAAAACTGCAGCACTGTAACAGCACCTGATTGCAATCCACTTTCTGCAGACATATCATACCTGAGCATGTTTGACCTGTAAAACCTTGTTGAGTTTGTGCAGATGGTCATTCTGCAACTTGGTTTCAGTAAATGAATGGAGCTGTTCTTCTAACTGTTTAATTTTTGTCTATAAGAAAAACAGAACAATAATGAGTAAACCTAATCTCTGATGGAAAGAAGATGTCATAAATTTAAAAAAATTAGAGGACACTTGAAACTTGAAAAAAAAAAAAACCCACACTTTCCTAATCGTGCAAACAATTCTGTCTTAAATCATTGCTATGAGCAGGCTTATGTTTTGCTCAAAGAAAACTAGAAAAGTTGAACAGGTAGAATTCTTACATGTTAAGCTGTATTTGAAAATTAACTCCTAAACCCAGGTAAAGTGGTACATACCTGTTATCTTCAGTCCTTAGGAGCCAGAGGCAGAAGGATTACTGTGAGTTCTTAAATCAAATGACTATTTTATGGAATAAAAACAATTTATACTCCTTCCTTAGGACTCATTGTATTGTAGCTACTGAGAAACAATGAAATCCCTGAAATTTACTGGTAGCATACTGTCATCAAAGGTACTTCATCTTTTGAGTTTCTCATTTGGCAGAAATTCTTACTCAGAATATTTAAAATTGTAAAGAATACAGAAGCACTGGCCAGAAGCAAATGAACACTGCTTCCTCAGGTCTGGAAATTTCATGAGACTTAAAACCACTCTATGACCAGCTTATTGGTAAATCTGGGGACATCAGCATTTTAGGCCATGGTCAGGTGCTCATACTATTTCAATTGCTCTGAATATATACTACATATAACATATAATTTTTTATATGTCATGGTCAGGTGCTCATACTATTTCAATTGCTCTGAATATATACTACATAACATATAATTTCTTATATGTTATATGGTTATATGTGCATGTATGTATGTATGTATGTATGTATGTATGTATGTATGTATGTATATGGCCACCTATAGCTCTAATACTGTTAATACTATATAAATTGAGACAGCCAAAAATTAAGAGCTCTGTTTTAACCTGTTTACACTGTAACATAAATATCCATTCATTATATTTCCTAGATTTTTTAATATGTATTGTAAAATTGAAATAAACTAGGACATATCTATAGTGGTAGTTCATTTATAATTTGAAATGAGCTTTGGAGTTAGAAATAGCCAATTTTTTGATTCCAGTTTGGTTTGTGGCACTGAAAACTGAAGCCAGGACCATTCCGTAAGCGTAACTCATATCAACAACCTTTCAGTTTGCCTCCTTCCAGCTCTGTGCCTCATCTTGTCTGCTACCTTTAATATGAGGGAAGGATGAATGATGATGTTCGGCAAACCTATAGTGAGATTACTTAACATGTCAGGGGTCCAGTCCTAAGCTTAAGTGGGCCTCATTTCACACTGTTTAGTCCAGTTATCCTCATCTATGGCATCTTTCATTATTGTTGAGAGAGGATCATATAGCCCAGGCTGACCTCATCATTCTCCTACCTCTTCCCCTTGAGTGCTTGGATTAGAGGTGTACTCCATCATGCCTGGAATCAACTGGGGAGCTTTACAAAGTATTAGGTCTAGGACGTAAATTCTGATTTAATTGCTTTTGTTGGTATTACAGTCAGAGAATTTTTCTTATGTATTATGAAAAAAATTAACCATGCAGAAAACTTGAAAGATCTTTCTGTGAATACGAATCTGACTACCACCCTAGGTTCTACCTTTATTTATTTATTTATTTATTTATTTATTTATTTATTTATTTAACTTATCACATATTTTATGGGTCCTCCAATCTACTTTTTGTAATTGGATGTATTTCAAAAGAATAGTAAATATACATTTCCTACTGCTAGGATTTTTTTTTTAAATCCCATCTGATTCTAATGTGTATCTAAGACTTAGAACTCACAATTAGTGCTTAGTGTTTCCAATGGGATTGGTCTAAGTCAGGCTCAGCAACATCAGTAGCAAGCTTCCTGGTGTGTGGGTATCATGGGGACAAAACAAAAACTTAGTACCTTTATAGTCACTCACATCCCATCACACTACTCAGTATAATAGACTCAATCCTGTGGCCTTGCAAGGCCAACCTTCAGTTGTTTTCAAAGAGTGTGCTACAAACATTTACTAGACCCACAACACCTAGGTTCTCCATCTTCTCACAAAATGGCCATGCAGAAAATGGCTGTACTAAGGCTTCAGACAGTCACAGAAGTGGTTGTGGTTTCATCATTAGACTACTGGTCTATGAACAGAAGTCATTTGGATGATAATGAAGAAATAAACTTGGGCGGGGGGGGGGGGTTCAGAGGCTACAGAGTTAGTAAATGACAGAATTACATTTTCTTAAGTTCAACAATATTTAATCCAACAATTAACTATTTTAAACATCAGACAAAAATCTGAAGATAAATCTCATACCTGAAGTTTCCCCTTCTCATAGGCCAGTTTATTTTTACTATCAGTAATTTTTTCCAAGGCTTTTTCCACTTTCTTCTGAGCAAACTGACAAAGCAAGCACACATATTATTACCTTTGACATACAAAGTCATTAGCATTTCTCTTTTAAAAGTTATTAATACCCTTGCTATTTCTACAGAAATACTTTTACATTTACTTCCAACTTACTCTGCCTTGAAGATCTTCCCTAGACAATACATCATTTTGCTGATAGGCAACATATCCAGAGCCAGCTGATGAAGACATAAAGTCATAAGATTCCCAGAGTGTGTTGTCCTTTGTACTACATTCCTTTGTCTGTTTGTTTCTGATTTGTTAGTTAATCCTTTGTAGGCAGGTGCCAACCCAGATCTGGTGATTATAAGCTGTCTGAAGAGGACCATAAAAGTTTTTAGGGACAATGACCATACCTCTGACAGAAGAGCAGCCTTTAGTTATCACAGCTTAAAGAAACTGTCTCAGAAGTTGAAGGTAAGTACCTATTGCTGACGACACCACATACTCCAGACACACAACTGGAGAGATTTGAGCTGAATCTTTGGTACTTTATGAACTTAACAAAAAAGCACTATATAAGCTACCAAGAAAGGGAAGCAATAAACAGTCATATCCATAGGTGATGCCTATGAACTATAATAACAAAAAGCATGGCAAGGTATATTAAAGGCATAATAGTGGCACCCATATCATGGTGGTAACCAACAACAGTCTATTTGATTCAAAGCCCACTAAGGGGAGGAAAATTATGCCTGGTACTTGGAACCTAGCCAGCCAACAGACCTAGAGAGGTCATGGATCTTAGAAGCATTGCCACTACTTTACTAGACAAGCGTAATTCCTAATCACATTCTCAAACTTATCCTTAGAGCCACAAATAAGAACAGTTCTCACCCTTAATAAAAGAAGCTTCTTTTTACAGTCAACAGAAACTGTCACAGAAAACTACAATTGGCTATAAGTAGAGGTCAATGGATTTGGGGGATCCCAGACACAATGGATACATCTACAACACAATTCCTACACCTTAAGGCTCAGAGAACATCACAGAATTGGGGAGTAGAAAGGTTGTAAGAGTCAGAGAACATGGTGGTCTGTTTTAGATTATGTTTCCTAGAAATGACACAGAAGCTATTCCCATAATACCTCAACAATATGGTTGCCTAAATAAGATCAGAACAATGACAGTATCAATGGAGACATTAACTCAGAAGGGGGAAATCTCATGGAGCTCCACCCCTAAACAAAGAACTGCAGACAATGACTGCTGAGAAAGGGAGTATTACCAGAAATGAACCCCCTAATTGGTCATCCAACACATGGTAGTCAGCCCTAAAATCAAATACACACAGACACACTAAAAAATATGCAGTGGGTTATGTTTTCATATTTACGGATATATATGAAACTAATAAAGAAAAAAGAAGCCATCCATTTGAGAGGGTGTTAAGGTGGGATGGGAGGGGTTTGAGGGAGGGCACATGAAGAGGTTGGAGGGGAAGGGAAGGAATGATGTAATTATATTTTAATTTTAAAAATTAATAAGAATGTTAGGTACTTATTTAAATTACTGTTTACAGGTTATTAGATAGTCCCTGTACTTTAAATAATGGAAGGACATAAATTAACATTACGCAAATAAATGAACACCTCAGATTTGTGGAGAACACAAATGAGATTAGTGTTTGCTTAGATAACCTTGGTACTATCATAAAGACTATTAACAACAGAGAGCAAAGCAAAAACTGGAGAATTACTTGACAAACAGCATACAAAGGAAAATCATAGTATCTGTTAGAATATAGCTTTTTTACTCATAAAAGTTTTTAGACTATTAGAATTTTTAGTCTGTTAGGATATATAGTTTTGGGCACACAGAAACAACAGTGCTTAGAAAACCAAGATGGAATTATAAAAAGATTATCTTCAGATAGATAAGTTAGCAAGGATGAACATTACCATAGCTCAGAACTGAAATGTGCCCCACAAAGGCTGTTTTTAGTGTATGGTTACTAGCCATGGGTACCCCTGGGAGGCAGCAAATTCACAGGCAAATGGATGGAACTAGAAGAAACCATTCTGAGCAAGGTAACCCAGTCACAAAAAGACAAACATGGTATGCACTCACTCATATATGGATTTTAAACATAGAGCAAAGGATTACCAGGCTACAATCCACACCACCAGAGAAGCTAGGAAACAAGGAAGCCCTTAAGAGAGACATACATGGTCCACTGGAGAAGAGGAAAGGGACAAGATCTCCTGAGCAAATTTGAAGCATGAGGGGAGGGGAGAGGGAACTAGGAGACTGGGAATGGAAGAAGAGGAGGGGTGAGGAGGACATGAGGGAGCAGGTTGAGTCAGGGGAAGAATAGAGGAGAGCAAGGTAAGAGATCCCATAAAAGAGGGAGCCATTATAGGTTTAAAGAGAAATCAGGCACTAGGGAAATGTCCGAAGATCTACAAGGAGGATACCAACTAACAATCTAAGCAACAGAGGAGAGGCTACCTTAAATGCCCTTCCTCTATAATGAGATTGATGACTAACTTATATGCCATCCTAGAGCCTTCATCCAGCAGCTGATGGAAGTAGAATTAGATACCCACAGCTAAACACTGAACTGAACTGGAATCTAGTTGCAGAGAAGGAGGAGTGATGAGCAAAGGGGTCAAGACCAGGCTGGTGAAACCCACAGAAACAGCTGATCTGAACAAGGGGGAGCTTTTGGTCCCCAGACTGATCACTGGGGAACCAGCATGGGACTAATTCAGCCCATGAATGTGGGAGTCAGTGAGGAGGCCTTGGAAATCTATGGGACCTCTTGTAGTAGATCAGTACTTATCCCTAGCATAGGAATGGACTTTGGGAGTCCATTCCGCATAGAGGGATACTCCCTGAGCCTAGACACAGGGGGGAAGGGCCTAGGCCCTATCCCAAAGGATATGACAGACTCTGAAGACCCCCTATGGAAGGCCTCACCCTCCCTGGGGAGTAGAAAGGGTATAGGATAGGGAGGGGGTTAGTGGGGGGCAGAGGGGGGGGGGGGGGGGGAGGGACTGGGGTTGGCATGTAAAACAATATTGTTTCTAATTTAAATAAAAAAGGAAAAATTTCTCAGCACAATATAGGATATATATGTGTGTGTATGTATGTATGAATATTAATATATATAAAAAAGGAAAAATTTCTCAGCACAATATAGGATATATATGTGTGTGTTTGTATGTATGAATATTAATATATAATTCTCAAAGGAAAAAAACAAGTGAGGCAGGGTGGGATGATGTTAGTCCACTGGGATGTATCATTTGAACAAGGTACTGGGGCCTCTCTCTCTTTTCAGAGGAGAGCACCTCCTCTGCCACACATGCCCCATAAAGATGTTCTGCCTTACAAAGGCCCAAAAGCAACGATCCAACTAACCATGGACTGAAACAGCCTAATTATGAACCCAAATAACTCTATGTTGACTGAGAAAGCTGAGACAAATACCCAGAAAATTGTTTTCTAAGGTATTTTCTTGCAGTTTTGGAAACAAAACCAAGATCCTTAAGGGTACATGCTAGGAAGTTAACAGAAGCTGTTAGAAGAATAAACAAAACCAGTGAGTATACATTTACTTAAAACATGATACAGATTGAAAATAAGATACCAGATTGAATTAACTTTGACATTAAGTTACACACAGGCTGGATAGCATCCTTGAAGCCTCCCCTGTAGCAGATGGGAACAAATTCAGAGACCCACACAGACAGTAAGAGACCTCAGAACATCCAGCCCTAAATGGGATCTCTTCATCAAATCCCTCATCTCAGAGACCAGGGAATCCTGCTGAAGAGGAGGTGGAGAGAGTAGAAGAGCTGGAGGAAATGGAGGACACTATGAAAACAAGGCCCTCTAAGTCAGCATGATCAAAGCTCTAATGAACTCACAGAGACCGGAGCAGCATGCACAGGGCCCATACCAAGTTCTCTGTGTGTATACTGTTAATCAACTTTAATGTTTTTATGGGATTCCTAAGTGTAAAAACAAGTAGGTCTCTGATTCTTGTACTTTCTATTGGGCTCTTTTTCCTTCTTCGGGTTTGTATTGTCCAACTTTGATGTGATAATTCTGTTTTATCTCATATATTATTTTGTTGTATTTTAATATCTCTTAGAAGTCTGCTTTTTTTTTTCTATTTGTAATAGCCAGAACCTGGAAGCAATCTAGATGCCCCTCAACTGAAGAATGGATAGAGAAAATGTGGTACATTTACACAATGGAGTACTACTCAGCAAAAACAAAAAACAAAAAAACTATGGAATCTTGAAATTCAAAGGCAAATGGATGGAACTAGAAGAAACCATTCTGAGTGAGGTAACCCAGTCACAAAACTGATAAAACAAATCATAACATCTCAGTTTCATAGCTCAGACTCGTATCTTCCACTAAAACACTTCTCTTATGGTTTGATAGAAAAGCTTCTAGGTAGAGACAGAACTCAAGCCATAACTGAAATGAAAGTCATCATTGAGACCTTTAAGCAACAAGAGCATGAAGAACAGGAAAGAATCAATACTGACCAAAAACTGATAAGTCTACCAAAATCACTAGTAGGAAGAGGTCACAGAACTGGTCATGGCAATGGGTTCAGGAAATTAGGCAGGCAGATGTGGGCTAGACAGTAAGCACAGGGCATGACTGAATACTTAATCCTGAACAAGAGAATCTCAAATAATGGGTCTCATTACCCTGACAGGCACTGACAGACTTCCTACTGCCCACAGTAGCCCAGAACTAAGAATTTCAAATATGCTTAAACTATCTGCTACATGCTTTACATTTATCAACTTAATCCCCAAACACCTTTTATAGCAGTGGTATGATTATCCTCATTTTGATAGATTAAGACGCTGAGGCTTATCTCAGGCATAAGAAAAACTGATAGCAAGATAGCCTGGCTCAGAAGCCATGAAAACAAAAAAGGTTTAGGTTTAGTCCCTGTGATTCTTCAGAGTTGAAGTAATACGCAGGTGATGACAGGCTTTGGAAAAAATAATCTCAGACTGAAAAGGACACTGGATTTCTGTGAAATCTAAGGACTTCTTTGCATGCTCTTACATAGCAGCTAATCATTTTTCTGACAGTCAAATACACTAGAATTAGCAGAATCTGTGTAGTCCTCTTCACCTGGAGACTCTTATACTGCAATGGCCTTATCAAACAGCTTTTAGAAATCACACTTATTTCAAATACACTAGAATTAGCAGAATCTGTGTAGTCCTCTTCACCTGGAGACACTGCAATGGCCTTATCAAACAGCTTTTAGAAATCACACTTATTACTGACTGCTTAAAGGAGTGAAAGAACAGGTAAAAATTACAAGTTTTTCCTCAGTGTATGTAAAAGGATACATTCTAATACATCAGGTACGTTAGTGCTTTTCAGTATTACAGATCACTTGTGACAGTCATGGATAGCTGTCTTAATTTCCTCCTGTAGACTGACCTTTTTATACCCACCCCATGGTAGTCAGAAGTGGCTCTGTGGTGTTCAAGGGAAGCAATTTTATCTGTCAGGTGCTTATTTTCTTCCACAAGACTCTGCAGGTTTTGGTTCAATGCATTTATGTCTACCTTTGAAAAGAAAAGGAGAAAAGTTATTTTAAATGAAAAGATCTTATTTTAAAATAGGAGCTGAACTGAAAATTGGAAGGTAGCCTATGCACATTTCCCTTCTCATAGAGTGGGATTATGATGAATCTGTCTGATAGCTCTTGGATGATTAAGACAAGTTTTTATTTTCTTTCAACTTTCACTGTTTTTATTGAAAAGAATCTCTTAACATGTTATATTCTGATCATGCTTTTCCCTCCCCCTACTTCTCCCAGATCTTCCCCACCTCCCCTCCCACTCAACCCCATGCCCTTTCTCTCTTTAGAAAACAAACGAAAGCCAAGAAGCACACAACAATCCCCCACAAAACACAAGCCAAAATAAATAAGCAGAAAACCAGTAAGACAGTAAATAACCAAACAAAGCATAACGAGACAAAAAGTTTACAGAAATACCATTGAGTGCATTTTGTGCTGGCCATCTACTCTGGGCATGGGCCCCCATCAAAAAGTGTAGTTGATAAACACCCAGTGAGACTCCTTTGGAGAAAACTAACTTTTCCTTTGCCAGGAGATATCAATTGCAGAGAGCTTCTTCGTTAAGGGCCTGAGTCCATGTCCACTTACCCCCTTAGTGCTAGGAAGCTGTCTGGCTTAAACCTGTGAGATCCTATCCTCTGGCTCTTACAATCTACCTGTTACTTCTCTAGTTGTTACTGGAAGAACTAAGTAATTCATCTTTACTAGTAGTTATGCCCTTTCTAGCATTTGGTATTTGTTTATCAATTCAAGCTTGTGTGTATAGATGCAAAAATCTTCCACAAAATATTGTCATAGTCGTATATACTATTTACTGCAGGTATAATTTACCACATCAATAAACTACATTAGATAAACCATGTAAAACATGCCAATAAAAATATACATTTTAAAAACTCAACATTTATCTATGACTTTAAAAAAATCTCAACTAAAATTTATGAGAAATAACCACCTCTACTTGATACAACTGTACCTAAAAATTTCCCACAGGCTAATTTTTTAATATGAGGCATGCTTTCCCACAGGCCTTAAGTCCATTTAGAGAGCTGTTGGCTACTACCAGAATTTCTATGCCTCCGTTATACCCTTAAAATGATTGTGCCGTGCTAACTGTTGTTGTGGCTCATTGTGTGTTACAGCAAGGTAGAACTAGTGGTTGCTTTTCCTTCCTTGGAAATCTGCATGGCACCTTCTGGTATCATAGTTTCTATAACTAAAGGAGAGCTAAAACTGGGATAAATGGTCTCCTATAGGGAAGAGCCCCTCTACCCCCCAACTCTAAAACTGGGATAAATGGTCTCCTATAGGGAAGAGCCCCTCTACCCCCCCAACTGATTCTCCAACACCAAGTGGTCAGCCTTAAATTATATATAAATTAATTTTATAATTTTATAAATATAAAATTAAATATAAACATATACAAAGTAATAAAGTTGCATTCATTTACCTATATAAGTCATTGTTACAAAAACATGTACCAACAATTAAAAGGGCCATGTACTTGAGAGAAGAGCAAGGAGGGGATTATGGGAGAGGTTGAGGGGAAGAAATGGAAGATTCATCAGATTTTCATTTCAAAAATAAAATATTAATTAAAATATCCTAAAGCTAATTGAAGTCTATTTAATTATAAGAATAGATAGCTAAGATTTTCAAAGTGGCAAAAAAAAAACACATAACCAATGAAAATAACAGAAAGTCTACAAATGAGATCTAAATATCTATGATCAACTAATTTTCAACAAAAGTACTAACATAATCCAAAGGAAAAAGTGGAGTCTATCAAAAGATATGGCACAGTGATGTGCAAGAAGCAAGGACCTTCAAAAATTCTTTCCTATAGCAGCAAAAACAGTCATAGTGAACTTCTTCAGAACTCTGAAAATTAACAAAGGTAATCTATGCCATGCTTATTAAAAGAAATAGCTGAAACTGGAATGGTGAGATTTGTATTGTTTTTATTTGCTCTATTCTTATCTTCCTTTCTCCAGCAGAGATGTAGACTTGAGAGACTACCAGCTCAGTGAGAATTAAGTCTGGCATGGCTGTTACTCTTTCAAAACATCATTCCCAGAGCATTATTGTGATGTGATTGGTGCCTTAGATAGGATTATTATTGCTGTGATGAAACACTATGACCAAAAAGCAAGTTGGAGAGGAAAGGATTTATTTTGCTTACACTTCTACAACATTGTTCATCCATCATCAAAGGAAGTCAGGACAGAAACTCAAACAGGGCAAGAACCTGGAGGCAGGGGCTGACACAGAGGCCATGGAAGGATGCTGCTTATGGCTCAATGTGATTTCATGTAAAACCCAGGCCCAACAGTTTCTCAACCAACAACGGGCTGGAGACTCCCTATCAATCACTAATTAAGAAAATACTCTACTGGCTTGCCTACAGCCAACTTTTTATAGGAGGCATTTTCTCAATTGAGGTTTCCTCTTCTCAAATGGCACTAGTTGTGTAAAGCTGACATATAACTAGTCAGGACAATCTGTCTGGTGCTTCTCTGGATGACTTCTTAACAAGACTGTCTTAATTTGGGCTGACTTGCAATTTACTCAATACAAAAATCTTTCTTCTAGACAGGAATGATTAGAGGCAATTGGCTAAGTTTGCAGTTGCCTGGGATAATTGTTAAGAATTAGACAAAAAAAAAATAGGCTAACCTGAAAATCCAAAAGATAAAGATAGGGAATGAAACAGCCATTAGAAGCTTTGAAGAATATTGACAAATCGCTAAAGCTCTACAAAATCATGTATATGCATACGGTCTCAACATGGGCAGAACTGTATGCATGGTCTGATGTGAGAAGGCTTCCAAAGCCCACTTTTGACAGACTCTAAGGCTCTATCAAAATTAGATAAGTCAATACTCTAAGACTTGAAGGCATGCTCTAAAATGTAGTACATTGCCACATCATCAAATTGCTGAAAGCCAAATTCAGAAAGTCCCGAAAGCTGCCATACCAGGGCTCACCAGATACCAGGTATAACCAGTAGGATGACAGCTGACTGAGCATCACACTTTCATGGGTAGAAGGGAGAGGTGTAAGGTATTAAAATATTAAGGAGGAAAAAATCCTCAACTATGAATTACAAATCCAGAAAAACTAGCCCTAACAATAATAAAAATATTGGAGTATTCCCAGATGAACAAAAATTGTAATAATTCATACAAAGGACTTTTCTGGCTTAAACATAATTCTGAGGCTGTGGCACATTCAAATCTCACTGAAATTAAAGTGATTTACCAAAGTCCCCACCTCTGTTGTGTGTACAGATTTTGGGGCTAGACAACAAACTCTACATGGATAAGTAAAGGGAATTCTTCAGGCTGAAATAAATGGGCAGTGGATGACAGCTGGAATCTACATAAGAAGTAAAGGGTAAAATGCACTACATGCATGTTTGGTGCCCACAGAGGCCCGCCAGGGAATCAGACCCCCTGGAACTGGAGTTATGGATGGTTCTGAGCCACCATGTGGGTGTTGGGAACTCAACCTGGTCCTCTGCAAGAGGAAGGCATGCTCTTAATGACTGAGCCATACCTCCAAGCCCCATATTTTTTTGTTTGTAATTTTTTCTTACCTACAAAGCCAAAAAGGATAATAAAGGAAGCAATAAGAGAGTTAAAATAATGCAATATAAACACTCACAAAACAAAACAATAATTAAGAAACAGTAACAAAACACAAAAGCAAAAAGTAAACTGCTGATGTAAACTAGTTCCTATCAGTAATTATTTAGACTATAAATCATGTCATTTAAGTAGCAGAAATATTGGGATGAAGAGAAGGCTCAGCAGTTAAAAGCACTAGCTGCTTTTCCAGAGAACCCAAGTTAGATTCCAAGCATCCACATGGTGGCTCACAAGCATCTATAACTCCAGTTCATAAAGATATGACACCCTCTTCTGGCCTCTTCAGCACTGCATACATGTGGCACACTTACATACACACAGGCAAAATACCAATATATATAAAAACATGTAATTTTTTAAAAAGCAGAGAGAGGCAGAATGAAAAATTTTAATCATCCAACAATTTTTGAAAGATGGACTTTAGATTCACACAGAAAGGGCAAGTTAGCGGATGGGAAAATATCTGCCATATAAACAACAATCTGAAATAGCTTAGTTAGCTACATTAATATTAGGTTAAAAATAGATAAAAAACAAGATCCATGAGCAAATAGAAAACTTGAGCAACACTATTAACTATTTTCCACACTACATATGGAAAATAGTATTAACCATCAAAATGTAATTATTTATAAAAAGAGAACACCAAAACATTATATATGAAGCCAAAAAAAGAACAAAATCAAATAGAGAAGTAAGAAAACAGTAGACAGAGATTTCACATCTCCCACATGTAATGCTAAATAGGAGAAGACAAAAGACTCATGAGCAAACAGAAAACTTAAGCAACACTATTAACTAATAAGACCTAAGAGAACAATTCCCCCATAAGGCAGACTACAGATTTTTCTCAAAAACAAATGCAATAATCTGCAGGATAGATCATATGTTAGGTCATAAAGCAACTATCAATAAATTAGAAAGGGCTAAAATCATGCTGAGTATGTTCTCATCCAAAATATAATAGCATTAAAATGAAAGCAAAAACCATTTGGGAAAGTTCATATATATGAGGAGATCAACATATTTCTAAACAACCAATGTTTTTTTTTAATAAAACTGAAATGTAAGGGGAACTTAAGGAATAATTTGAGATGACTGAAAATGAAAGAACATCGCAAGAACATGAACTTCTGAATGCAGTGAAGGTTTAGAAAGGGACATTCATTCCTGCTAACAGCTTTATTCCTAAAAAGGAGGATCTAGTGGTTGTGAGCCTAGCCTTTAGTGGCTGAGCCATCACCCCAGTCCAAAAGAAATATTTCTTAAATTAATGACCCATGCTTATCTTACACTAGAAATCAAAAAAACAAGTTAAGCAAACAGAAGACAATAATAAATATTAGAGCACAAATGAAATAAAGGATAGGAAAATAACAGAAAACAAAAAATAGATAGTTGGACTAACCAAGGAAAATCAAAGAAGATACAAATTACTAGACAATAGTGAAATAGAGAACATTACTTCTGATCATATAGAAATAAATGTATATGACTATGACTACTCAGAACAACTGTATGCTAAGTTCAACACCCTAGGTGAACCAATCTATTGAAATGTATTCAAAAGGAAAACAAAACCCCCAAAAGGAGAAGAGAAAGGGCTCAGAAATTCAAGAGACCTTCAATAGAAGGTTTAATCAGCAATAATGTAAAACAGGAAAAAACTCCCCACAAAGCAAAGTCTATGACAAGATGTCTTCACTAGTAAATACAAGAACACTTAATGAAGAACTGTTATGAGACCCTCAAAAAACCTAGCCAAAAATATGAAGAGAAGAAACATTTGCAAATCATTTTAAGAGAGTAATATTATCTTGACACCAAAACCAAAGTTAATACAAGAAAAATAAAATAAAAAAACAGTATCAATTATGAATACATACTTCAAAACCTCAACAAATCAGGCCACAACATTCAAAAGGTGTATATAACATGACCAGGTGACTGTTAGCCTGGCTAAGGAATACAAGCTAACTTTTGAAAAAAAAAAAAAAAAGCATTTGAAATCAATGAATGTAATATATATAACAGTAAAATCAAGAACACAATCCCTAAGATTATTTCAATACTTCCAGATAAAACATTTGACAAAATTCAGAATAAAACAACTAAAATTTCTCCCAAACTCTAAGGCATAGAAAGGAATTTTCTCACTTTAATGAGGTAAAATTACCAGAGTCCTATAGCTCACATGACAGTGTGACAAACTAATAGCACAAGATTGCCTACCTTCACCATTTCTAGTCAACACTACAGCACAAGTTCTAAGTCAGCTTATACAAGACAAAGCAAAGACAGAAAGAAATTAATTAAATTATATATATAGTATTATATATTAATTAAATAATATGTAGTATTAAAATTGTAATGCTCTCCAAATTAATATATAAAATTAGTGTACAACCTACCAAAATTGCAGTTTTTCCTTTCTTACAAAACTGGAAAAGCTGATCTTAAAAGTTCACCTGGAAACATATAGACTAAAAACAACCAAAACTATCTAAAAGTTAGACTCATTCATAGCAATGTCCAAACAAAACTATCATAAGGATAAGCAAGTAGTCAATGCAAGTCATAATGTTAATTGAAATCAGCCAGACACAAATTACTTGTTTTCACTCATTCATAAAAACTAGAATCAATCTCCTAGAAGAGCTGAGTGGAACAATGATCATTAAAGACTAGAGGGCAAATCATTAATGGAATGAAGTTAAGTAAGAGTTACTAAAACAAAGTTGTGTGGGTAGGAAGGGTTAATCCTGGTTTCGACAGCACAATAGGGCAATCACTGGGTAATATGATCTGTGATACTCTTCAAACTGTCTAGAGTATGAAATCTACAACCTACAAAAAGTCACTAAGGTGAGGATGTGGAAGTGCTCGTGATCGATTCTTATTTACTATACACTGCCTGGACCAAATTACCCATAAGCTACTCCATAAGGATGTACAAATATAACATATCAACTAAAGAAAAATACAAGGACAACTCAAAGATCAAGTGGCATGTACTCATAGATACTTAAGATATAAAAGCCAAGCTTGCTTTTACATCTAACAGCAAGCAGTATCAGTGGTCACCCTTTGCTTTCTCTAGACCCATTAGCTAACTAAGTCTCAGGGGACTTCTGCCTGAAGTACTCAGTGACCAGTAGGAACAGAGGCAGTGATGGCTTACAGGGGCAAATGCTCCAAATGCTCAACAAGCAACACTCCTCCCCTCACAGAGCACTAGAAGGCCCTAAGTGACATTGGCTTTGTGCCCCTCCCCCTATCCTGACAATCAGTAAAATTACCCTATTTATTAAATACACTACTAACACAGTTGCCAGCAATACAGAGAGTGAGAATGAAACATCAAAAATCAAACCCAAATACCTTGCTTTTAGCTAATTCCTTTTCCAAATTGCATTTTTCTTGGACTTCTTTTTCTGTTTTGCTAACCTGTGCAGGTAGGGAAAAGAAATGGATCAATGTTTAGAAGACACAGGTTTACAAGAGCGGGTGACACCATCAGTTAATACCTACACTGCAGAAGTAACACAGCCCCTCAGAAAAGGGGTCAGCAGGGCTTCTATGAGGCAGAACAGACTTCACAGGAGACATGGGGCCTGCATATCAGATCCTGCCACCTCCCTCCTAACTCAAAGATAGGCTCTGTCCTTTAACTCTCACACTCTCACTCCCCAGCTTCCTTTAGAAACACGAGTGTTTTACATCTGACCCCATAACTAACAGGAGGGTGTGTGAGGTATCAGTTGACACTAATGCTATAGCAGGAGTATGCTGTAGTATTTCTACATGCTCAAGAACAGACACGTCTTTATTGAAGTTCAGCTTTGCCTCAACTAGGAGGGACAGCTGCTCCTACCTCCTGCTGAAACCTCTCTTTCTCCTCTAGCAGAGACGACTGCTTTCTGGAGACACTGACTATGCTCAAGGATTAAATGGTCTCTGGAAGAAGAGAACCAAGAGTCAACCAGTTAAACAACCTGCTGGCCCAGATGATAAATGTTCTCTCTCCCTGTTTTTTATTATTATTATTATTATTATTATTATTATTATTTATTATTATTATTATTGTTTGTTTTCAGAGAAAGGGTTTCTCTGTGTAACAGAACTGGCTGTCTTGAAACTCACTCTGTAGACCAGGCTGGCCTTAAACTCATAGAGAGAGATCCGCCTGTTTTTGCCTCCCGAATGCTGGGGTTAAGGAGGGCACCACCCACTGCCAGGCTGGATAAATTTTCTTAATGGAACATGACTCTTGCCTGACAATAGTTATCACAATGTTCTAGGAAAATGGACCCTCAGGACAGAATTCTTTATCCCTGTGGTTGGCTCATAAATAGGAAACTAGGTACTTTCATTAAGGGCAGGAAACACAAAGAGAATAAAAGCTGCTCGTGGCACTGGCTTGCTTACAGGTGTGTCTGGAGTTGGGCTCTATCATTCTGAACGGTTTGGAGTTCGCTGGTGATGCTGGCATGAGCTGCATCTAACAATAAATTTTGCTCTTGAAATGTCTCTGTTATCATTTTCTGCTCCACCTGAGAGTTAGAGTAGTAAAAGCTGAGATGCCATTTGACAGGGTAATAGGCAGAGTAACTGTTTAAAGACACTATGCTCATTCCAAAACTTAATTTTCACAAATAAAGTCTGTGATAAAGTAGTTTAAGGAACCAGCCTTCTTGTTGGCTCAATTCTGTCATTTTATAGCTCTACTACACAAAAATGAAGACATATTACTTACCAGCCTTGACAATATTTTGTGATATTAATTTTCCTAAAAGTCGTGATATTTGTGAAGAAAGCATTAAAAACCATTGAGTTGTAAGGCCAAATCACCTCTTTGCAAAAAAGGAGGAAACTACTAATGAAAAAAAGAACAACTGGGTCATAAGAGCCTGTAACCCTAGAACTCTGTAGGCTGAGGCAGAAGGACTGTGAATTTCAGACCAGCCTTTGAGCTACAAAGTAAGATCCTGCTGAAACAAACAATCAAATAAAAAGGAAAGGAGTACTGGTAGACGCCTATAATTCTAGCATTCTGGAGGTTGAGCCAGCAGGATCACAAATCAAGGTCACTCTTACTCATACTGAATTTGAGGCCAGCACGGGATAAATGAGACTGTCTTAAAAAAGAAAGAGAGAGAGAGAGAGAGAGAGAGAGAGAGAGAGAGAGAGAGAGAGAGAGAAAGAAAGACTAGTAAGCAAATAAAAGAAGTCTGAGTGCCAAGCAAATACCTGCAGAATAGCATTGTGTTCGGCAATAACCCTGGCATTTTCCATTTTAACAATCCGAAGCATGTTGGTTAGCTCTGAACACTTTGTGGAGAGCTGTTCATTCAGAACCTAAGATAACATACACAGCAAGTCATAAGTCCTTCTAATAATTACTGTATTTATATTATTTTTAGTGATTTCACAGTAACATACTAAGCCTATTTAGTAAGCCTATTTAGCTAACATATCATCAATATTTCATTAGTTTGAAAACTACTTTCAAATACTCTCCTATGAGTAATGGGATCTCCAGATATAACCAAAACAACACAGGCTATTGCCTCTGTTCTTAGTTGCCCAGCATAACTAAACAGTACCCTATTGCTAAAGACACTGCTCACTCTGGATGTAGGACATAGCTAAATCAACCTGAATTGAGAAGGAAACTCTCCCTACCAGCTAGCTTTCACAGTGCCAGAAGGTACAAGGCACTGAATCTTGAATGCTACAATACTGACCTGCTAGATATGTCCACTGATGCATGACTGTTTTAGAAGTAACCAACCGTTTTGATTGCATATGTCTGTTCCACAGGAGGGATTTCATGCCTGGAACTACAAACCTGGTTTAAAGCTCCTGACTGGGGGAATAACAGGCCTTAGGAGGAAACCCACTGTTACTGTTTTGCTAAATGCTCTTGCAATCAAATTTATTCTAAATATTTATGTTTATACCCACCGGTTTGTGCGGCTCTCAACCTTGGTCAGGGAAGTGTGTTTTGCAGCTGACAGTGGTTAACGAAGAGAATTATAACATACAATGCGAAGTGTAGTAACTTCAAGGGCTCTGTGGTGCACCTGTATCAGCCTCCCACCACCCACAGCTCACAGAGCTTTACAGAAGAGCAGAAGGGAGAACTTAAGGGGAAGCAGCAGATGTGGAGGAAAGGTGTGAAATGCAACTTCAGGACGTGGCATAACTGTTACACAACTGTCAGTAGTGGTGCTCATCTGCACATAACCTGCACAAGATAAAGCCAGTCAGGAGCTACTGCAGGTTGACGGTCACTGAAGCAGGGCAGTGGCTTCTTTGGGGGAAGTGGCTGCCAGTAGGTTACCTACACTCCAGGGGTTTGCCACACACCCATGCACATATGGGCAGCACTAACTGGGTTCATGGTGATAAGAATAAAGAAAGAGAAAATGAAACTACGAGGGAGGTGGGGAGGGAACACAAGGAGAAGTGGCGGGAGGTAGTGGTAGATGGATGTGATCAATGTACTTTCCACAAATGACTCAAACTTCCAACAATTATTTTAAAAAAATCGGGAGTTTGGATTCTACAGCCAGAAGAGGGTCACTATGGAGGGAGAGGAAGTAATCAATACCAAGTGACCATAAAAGGAGGTGGGGTAAAAAGGGAGAGCAGAAGTGATCAATATCAATTGACTGATTTTATTTCTAGAGCTCCTGAGGCATTTGGTATTTTATTCATTTCAAAATTTTGAAAACAAGTCAAAAGCAAGAATAGAATTTCAATAAAAGTGTCTAGCTAATAATATAAAAAAAATCCGTTCCCCAAATTTTATCATCATCATTGACAATTACTCAGTAACACAAATATCCATGTTCTTTTACCATCAAAGATAGTATTTACAAAAGCAAAATACAGATTTTAATCCCACAAGATTAATCCTTCAGAACAAAAAAAAAAATCTCCCCAATCATACCAGTAGTTAATGATTCTCTGACATCAAAATTTACTTTTTTTTTTGAGGTTCTGAATTAAACTTGGGGCTTTAACCTTGTAAATAACTTGTCCCAACACTGTACTATACCCCTGTCCTCAGCTCCAGAAATCCATATTCTTGTAGCAGATAAACACAAATTTTTTTTAAAGTAAAATGGGTAGAGTAGAGTATGGGGCTCACTGGTAAATGCTGCCACAACTCACTGTAGATTGTGGACTTTGGTGAAAAAGTTTACTAGTAAGGGCACATTCTTGAAAAAAAAAAACATAGCTAATGTGTTTATAACCAGATTACATAAACCCGAACAAAAAGCAAAATGTCCTCTGCCACTTTGCTGGTTGAGTTGGCAAACCTTCTGTGTACAAGCTTCCTTAGCTTCAAATCATGAGTGACAGTTTCTAGTCCTTAGTGCATTGGCAAGGGTTATTTATAATGTTAGTAATGTGAGGTGCTTAAGAGTTGTACCCAGAATGTGAAAGGGTTCACCTAATGTTAACCATTGGTATAGAAAGAGTGGTGACTGTTTTGTAAAAGGATATTCTTTTCATTTTATTTAATTTTACTATAAAGCACAGTGGTACAATGACACTAACACTATATCAATCAAATTGTGCCAAAAGAAAAGTTATTTTAAGGATAAACACTTCACTGGGTTCTGTGAAATAGTGTGCCTGTGTGTTCAGTTACTGTTTTCAATATACATTCATATGTTAATATAAAATATAAGTTAAATTTGGATGCAACACCTTACAGAAAATGATCATACATAAATCCCAAATCTAACAAGCATTTCTTATGTTCCTACTGTACTATTTGATACAGATCACACCAAAAAAGTTTAGTAGATAGCCCTTGCGATGGAGCTCCCTAGAAATGCACTGGGAAAAGGAAAAGAAATCCCAGTGATTAATCTTGTTAACCTGATAGGCTTTAGAATCACCATGGGAACAAAACTCTAAACATATAAGTGGGAGATTTTCTAGATGAAGCTGAGACCCACATTAAGTGTGGGTGACAAAAACAAAAACAAAAAAAGGCCGGGCGTTGGTGGCGCACGCCTTTAATCCCAGCAATCGGGAGGCAGAGGCAGGAGGATCTCTGTGAGTTCGAGGCCAGCCTGGTCTCCAGAGCAAGTGCCAGGATAGGGTCCAAAGCTACACAGAAAAACCCTGTCTCGAAAAACCAAAAAAAAAAAAAAAAAAAAAAAAAGTGTGGGTGACACCATTCCACAAGCTGAGGTTCCACACTGGATAAAAAGGGGAAGGCAAGCTGAGGACAAACATTGCTCATTCTCCTCCTCCATGGCAGATGCTATGACCTACTCATCCTAAAGTGTGAGCCACAATAAATACCTCCCTAAATTGCTTGGCAAGTATTTTATCATAGAAAAAAAGGCCTAATAGAAGGACTAAATTAGAAAGCAAAGTGTACTTGTGACTGATTTAGTCATGTACTTTGTTTCAATATCAAAGGAATTTGATGGGGGAAATCCAAAATGTAGTTAATTTGATAATAGTTCATAGATGGAGTTGATCTTACAGAAATAAAGAGCTAGAGGAAAAAAACGATATGAATTCATATAACCAAGAGTACTCTTGGTTCTTTAATGAAAAAAACCTCTTGAGAGAGAGAGAGAGAGAGAGACAGAGAGAGACAGAGAGAGAGAGAGAGAGAGAGAGAGAAAGAGAGAGAGAGAGAGAGAGAGAGAGAGGCAAAGATTTACCTTTGTTTTTTCCGATATGTCTCGAAGGGATATTATTTCAGATTTCAAATATGTATTGTCTTCATGTTCCTTGCTGAAAGACATTTTTGTACTCTATTGAAGAAAAAAGAAAGGGTTGTTTTCTTTTTCACACGGGCAAGATATTATGCACATCTCTAGGTGCAGACAGAGTCTTAGTATCTTTGACTTCCAAACATCCTTTATTTTTCAGTCACCAAAGGGCTTATACAAAGCTGATACAGATGCAGAGCACTCTCATTGGCTGCTGGTGGAAATGAGATGATGGAGCACTTCAGAAGACAGTTTGAAAATTCTTACAAAACTAAAACTGCACTCATCCAGCAGCCTTGCTCCTAGGTTTCTTCTCATGGATTGAACAGCTCATGCTCATGCAAAAGCCTTTATGTAGGTATTAGCATCATCTCGGTTCTTACTTGCTGAACTTAAAGGCAACCAAGATGTCCTTCAGAATCTTGCTCAACTCAAAACTACTTAACTTTCCCTGGCCCACATATTTTTATTGTTTTTTTTTTTCAGCAGAATACTGAGACTTTTGCATTCTAGTCCCTATAGCACAGATTAGGGGAGTGTTCACCCAAGTGAAACTGATCATGAAATACAATAATTCAATCAGAAAATGTATGAGAAGGAAAAATTACTCTATTAAGAGAAATACCCTTTTGTTTCTTAAAATTATTTTATTTTTTGAGATTATAATTACATCATTTCCCTTCCCTTTTCCTCCTTTCAAACCTGCTTATATACCCCTCATTTGTTTTCCAATTTATGGCCTCTTTTTCTGATTAATTATTGTTACATGCATATGTGTGTGTTTATATACATATATCCTTTTGTTTTAAAATGTCTGTGCTATGTTAACAAACTATGGTACATACAGATAATGTAATATTATTTAACACTAAAAATAAGCTACCAAGCCATAAAAACATACAAAGGAAATTTAAATATTTATTAAACAGAAGAAGCCAATCTAAAATGTTACATATATAATCCCAGCCATATGATGTCCTGGGAAGGGCATATCAATGGTTACCAAGGGTAGGGAAAAAGAGGGATGAGTATACAGAGCACAGAGGACTTTAGGGAAGTGAATCACTCCATATACAATAATATTTGATAATATGTTGTTATACATTAAATCTAAGGAATGAATAAATCTCCAAGAATGAACCTTAATGTGTACTACTGACTTGATTAAAATGATACAATAATATTGATTCATCTAGAGTAATCCTGTTAGTCCAGTGGGAGATGTTGACAGCCAGGGAGGCCAAGCATGTGAGGCAGGGGGTACATAGGAAATCTATATACTTTATGTTCTGTGTGGTGGTCAATGTAAAATCTCTCTAAAAGTTTATGGCTTATTTTTAAAGACTTCACTAAATAGAGTTTCATGTTAGGATTCTGACTAGAAAAAAATGACTAAAACCATTCCATAATTACTCACTTATATTCTTACACTGAGTCAGTTCTCTCCAAGAATAAATACTTTTATACACATTTTGACTACCAATAAGATTTTGTGATTCCCAGGGAACACATTCAAACCCTTTAAAAGTTATAAGATGTTTTCACCAGTAAGGACCTCGTGGTGGACAAGCAAGCACCTGAGCTCTCAGGAACAGAACTAAGTTCTCTCTGGGATTCGGAGAGAGGGAGAGACAAGTGAGGTGTGACTGGAGATCCCTTAAGAGCTTCTTGGTAGAAGAGGGATGGGCAGACTGTCGCTTTTTCCTCCACCGAGAAAACTACTTCTCAATTTCCCCAGAAGTAGGAAGATGAATACCACACAACATGTGAGATGGTAACAGAAAATCTATTCTAGATGGGAGTACAGAGACTAACTTAAAAGTGAACAAGATATAAAGGGTTTTTTTTTTCCTCTGAATTTAGTTAAAATGAAGTTCAGCTTATTTATGTGATCCTTTTGTTCCTAAAGCTTTTTGAAGAATCTGAAGTCTATATACTAGCACTAGTGAAGGCTATGACATAATAAAGAGAGAAACCATCTCTGTATTCTGTCACAGGAACACATACCTTATTTTCTTCAACCAACTTGCAGATGAAGTTATCTCTGGACACTAAAAACAAAAAGTCCACATGATGATGATGGTGACTTAGCACACAGAAACCACACAGCACTTTTCCTAGAAACTTTGGTTGTTTTAGTCAATGTTTTGTGGAAATAATAGCACATGTATTTTTTATCATTTTTCATAGGCTAGACAAGAATATACACAATTATCAACACATCATGTCTGTAATCTCAGCATTTAGAGACTGCAGCAGCAGGATCATGAGTTCAGGGCCAGCCTGGGCTACATGGAAAACTTGTCTTTAAAGGCTAAAATCAATTGGACAAAAAGTAAACTTAAAAAGAACCTGATCCACTGTTACTTTAATAATAAAGTCATATTTTATTCAATGCATAGATTATTCTGGGAGGGATATAATTAAAATATTTTTAATTTTATATTTTATATTTTATTCAATGCATAGATTATTCTGGGAGGGATAATAATTAAAATATTTTTGTTAAATATTCTAACCAAGATTTAATAAAAGCAGGGACACACACATAAAACAATAAGGGCTATTTTCCTCCTGGCAATGACAATGAAAACAGAGGAGGGAAAACAAACTGATGAAAAAGAAGAGCGGGCTGGACGTTGGTGGTGCATGCCTTTAATCCCAGCAATCGGTAGGCAGAGGCAGGTGGATCTCTGAGTTTGAGACCAGCCGAGTCTCCAGAGCGAGTGCCAGGATAGGCTCCAAAGCTACAAAAAAAAAAAAAAAAAAAAAAAAAAAAAAAAAAAAAAAGAAGAGCAGCAGATGTTTGGTACCCGGGTGAGCATGCAGAATGCAGACAGGGGCAGCAGGGTAGATGCTGGACTCCAGCTACAGAAGGACTGCATGGAACGAGCAGACTTCAGAAACAGAACAAAATGAATGAACAGACACTGTCATTTTCTTAATGTTCTGATGTATCTGCCTGGCATCCAACTGCAGGTGTTGATTTGACAGCAGGACAGTGATCTAGAGCTTTGAAGGGTGACTTCAGAGTTAGATGTGAAACCATTCTCAGGCTATAACTGAAGACAGAAAACTAGGGAACAGAGCTGAGCTGTGATTCCATGTTAAAGCATTTGTCACACACATGCAGGAAGGAAAATGGGGCAATAGTTTGGCATTGTATAACATTTGAAATTAATGTTTTGACTTTATAGAAAAATTTAGAACTATATTAGTGCTGTTATACTTAAAATTTAAAGCCAGGCAATTACAAAACATGTTAAAAACTTATTTTGCATAGGCTATATTGTAAAGAAACTGTTTTATAAAGATGTGAATCAATGACTCACTGAAGTCTAATTTAAAATGTGTGAAAATGTAAAGAGATAAATGTTGTGATCTGTTCTAAAGTTATACTCAAAGTATGAGCTAAGGGAAAATGTCTATCTTCGGAGAACAATTACTTTAAGCTATGTGCTGTTTACTGTTAATATGCTTGTTTTTAATACATTGAAAAAAATTTTAAAGGCATTTCTTTTTCTTAACATAGCCATATAGCTATTTGCACCTTAAAGCAATAAAACTGTACATAAAGAGTCAATAATATTGAGCATACAGTTGGTATTCAGTAAGGCTTCCTTTCCCTCATGCTATCTTAAATTACTGCGTTTAATCTTCATCTAGTGGTCTTCCACATATGCTTTACAAAATCCAAATGCTAAATAAATCATTAATCTAAGTAACAGCAAACCCACTGAACAGAGTGCTCATAGACAGGATGATCTATGTGGAGCCAGTCCTCAGGCAGGGAATCCAGATCTTTTTACTGTATGCAATGGGTATGTCTTCTTACTTTCTAACAAAGGGAAGAAACATGAAATGTAACACAAATGTGTGTAGGTGTACAATAGAAGACAGAAGGCTATCTCAGGGCACTGCTAGTGAAAACCTGCAGGACACAGTGACTCACTCAGCAGCCCCAAGAAAATTGTAGAAAGGCATTGGTTTATTCTTTCCTCTACACTTTTTTGTCATCTTTATTCTTCCGTTGGTACTTTATCTTTCATTGCAGGTAGCACACTAGAGAAGACCCAGGATTAAGTTTTTCTTCTCCATTTCTTTTGGAACTTTGAATGGCTATAGACAGCTTTGAGCATTCAATGATACAATCTATGTGAAAGCTCTATGTATGCTATTGTTCATGTGGGAACTCATGGTCTCTGCAGTGGAGATTGTCTAATGCTGCTTTACAGTGGCATACTGACAACAGTAGAGCCAAAAAGGTTGATGGGCTTGAAACAGCATGACTGTGCACCTAGACTTGGGGTCAAGACTCTTCCATTCACTACTCTGTCCCTTTGAGAACTAATCTGTAAAAGAAGGGAATTACTCTAAGCTCTTCTTACTGGTGCATTACAAAAACCCATCTCTATGAATACAGGTTCACCCAAACAGATCGACAAGTGGAAGAATGGTGAATCTAGCTACACTAAGAGAAGCCTCATTTCCTTATTAATAGTTTATTGACACCTTTGTATCCAGTGTCTAATGTTACACACAGAAGGGAAAACTTAAAGAGAATGGCTTATAAATAAGAGGCTTGGGTTTGAGAGATGGCTCAGCGGTTAACAGCACTGGATGCTCTTGAAGAGATCCTGAGTTTAGTTCCCAGCAACTGCATGGTGGCTCATAACTATCTGTAATGAGATCTGGTGCCCTCTTCTGGCCTAACGTTGTATTCAAAATAAATAAATCGAGAGAGAGAGAGAGAGAGAGAGAGAGAGAGAGAGGAAGAGAAGAAGAAGAAGAAGAAGAAGAAGAAGAAGAAGAAGAAGAAGAAGAAGAAGAAGAAGAAGAAGAAGAAGAAGAAGAAGGGGCTCAGCCAGGCCTAGTGGCACAGACCTGTAATCTTAGATGTGTAAGGCTTAGATAAGAAGATTACACATCTAATGCAAACCTGGGCAACTTAGTAAGACCCCATCTCAGCAAATAAACACACCAACAAACTAAACCCAAAGAAGGCCATGGAGCAAGCTCAGTGAAGAGTTTGCCTAGTATAGGTAAGGCCCTACCCAACCTTGTACCACACACACACAGAAAATTAACATCAAATTTTATTACCAATATTTATCTTTCTTTTTGTACCGTATAGAAAGAAGCCCAGCATTTTTTTTCCATCAATGCTGGTCAATTAAAGAATTCAGGCTCTTAGGAGTTTTTGCATACTTAGATCAGACTTGAGCTGTGAGGTAATCATCTCCAACTCTCCATTCTTTTGCTGCTCCTGTGCCAACAGTTCTTGGGTGGTTTGTATAGAGCCATGTAGGGCAGTGCAGTTCTGCTGCAAAGTGTGCACCTGAAATTGTGTTAAGAAAAACTATCTCTGTAAGATAATGAATGCATGGTCTGACAGAACACACAGAATGCGGAATTTTCAACCTTAGTGTCACTGGGAGCAAAGGGACGTGCCTGTATGTCCCAGCTGAAATCTCAGCAGACCACAGTTTCTTACTTGAAGTACTGTCCAATGGAGCATCCTATGTACACTTAAACACAACAGTCGCCAGCCACAGCAGACTGCTGAGCACATGAGGGTAGCAGAGCAAGAGAAGAATTGCAACTTTAGTTTTATTTACATTTAACTAATTTTGATTTAAATAGGATCTTTCATAAATTCCTTAAGCATAATAGACTCATTTTTATAATTCAGCTGTGAAGTATAGTCATTGGAAAAAATGTTAAAGATTATGCACTCAATAAATACTAAAATGCAAATTTAAAGTACCTTAAACACACAAATACTTCAAATAATAAAGACAATGAAGGCAAAATATCATGTTAATATGAATATGATACATGGAAACAGCAACATAAATATGTTCCTGGTTATTTTACTTATTTGCTTCAAAGGTTAGTACCATTCAGTCTTTCTTTTCTAAGCAGATCAGATACATATAGCATTAGCTAGGGTAACAGCTTCCACAATCAATGCCCATAGCAGAGATTATATGGTACAGAAGGCTACTGTACCAACATAATTCACCTCTATAAAACCTGAGAGAGACTCACTTCTTTAGACCTTGGCTTTCTCATTCATGAAAGACTGTTGTGTTAGATAGCAGAGTGTTTCTTATTTTGCACTATATTTTGAAGACTGTATATAGTAAGAACATTAACAGGTCACTAAGGAAAAGGACCTCAATAAATCTAGAGGAAATAAACAAACTGATGAGCCTGTAGGCAAGAATGCCAGCTCTCCCTTCTGTGTTTCACTTCTCTAACAAACAAGGGAAGTAAATCTCTACCTGCTTCCGTTCTGCCTCCACCGTTGAGCCCATTTCTTGTATTTTGAGTAGCATGGATGATGCAGATTTCTCAATAGATTCCCTGAAGTGCTTCTCCTGAGCCAGTTGTTTCCTTAGCTAAAGAGCAACTCTGCAGTTAGAGACCAATGAGCATCACTCCAGTTCAACAAAGATGCAAATGCCACAGCAGTTTACAAGATACGTTCTCATTCCCACACTTTCACATTACTTTGAAGCATGCTCATTCCTCTTTAAAAATCAAGTCAAGCTTGCTGCCCTCATCTTTCTGTTGTTGAAAATTGGGGGTCAAGACCCACTAGTAACTTTCAAGCAGCATATAGAAAAGGAAGGTAATAGAAATGACGGTACACAGCAAGTCCTGAGGACAAGCAAGCATCATGCTAATGCCTAAGTGATACCAAGATCACTATCTGTGAAAGACATTTTTTCTCTATTTTTTTATTAAATTAGAAACAAGATTGTTTTACATGTCCATCCCAGTTCCCTCTCCCTCTCCTCCTCCCCTGTCCCCCACTAACACCCTACCTATCCCATACCATTTCTGCTCCCCAGGGAGGGTGAGGCCTTCCGTGGGGGCGGGGGTCTTCAGAGTCTGTCATATCCTTTGGAATAAGGCCTAGGCCCTTCCCGTGAATATAGGCTGAGACAGTATACCTCTATGTGGGATGGGCTCCCAAAGTCCATTCCTATGCTAGGGATAAGTACTGATCTACTACAAGAGGCCCCATAGATTTCCAAGGCTTCCTCACTGACACCCCACGTTCATGGGGTCTGGATCAGTTCCATGCTGGTTTCCCAGCAATCAGGCTGAGGACCAAGAGCTCCCCCTTGTTCAGAAAAGACATTTTCTAATTAGACCTCATGAAGGGTTTTCATTCTCTGAAAGATATTACTAAGAAAATGAAAAAGAAAACTATAGGCTGGCAGAAAATGTTTAAATCTGACATATTTTGACAGAGGATTTATATACCCTCTTAGTCTTTTGCACATTACTGTAGCGAAATATCTGAGGCTAGATAATGTTTGAAGAATTAAGGCCTATTTAGCTCATAGTTTTTAATTGTTTTTAAAGATTTGAGTGCTCTACCTGCACGTACGCCTTTACGCCAGAAGAGGGCATCAGATCCCACTATAGATGGTTGTGAGCCACCATGTGGTTGTTGGGAATTGAACTCTGGACCTCTGGAAGAGCAGCCAGTGCTCTTAACCTCTGAGCCATCTCTCTAGCCCCTACCTCAATGTTTTAGGAGCTAAAGTTCAAGACTGGACAACCACACAAGTTCAGCTCTGGTGAGGGCCTCATGACAGAAGCAACACATAGTGATATCACACAGGCAAGAGAAGCCACCACATTTGACTTACTTATTTCTCTAGTAACTCCACTTTCATAGGAACTAACCGGGGCTCTATGGAAACTACATGAATCCCCTCCAAGGATGATTATTCTCAATTAATTAGCACTTTCCACTAGGCAGAATCTCTTAAAGGTCTGACCATTGTCCAAGACCACTGGGATCCAGCTGTTAGCATATGAGTCTTCACAGGGAACCTTCAAATCAGACCCCAAATATACCAAGTAACAAACTCAAAACTAAGTCACCTCGATATGAGACAACAATCTAAAATACACTTCACCAATGTAAATATATACAAGAAAATAAGTATACAAAAAGATTCTCATATCATGTAACATTGGGGTATTCAAATTAGAACAAGATAATCCATACATCTATTAGAATGTCAAAAATTCAAGACCCTGACACCAAATGCTGAGGAGAATGTGCAGCAACAAAGATTCTCATTCTTCTGTGGCAGAAATACAAATGGTCTCACTAGATTGTAAGATGAGTTGGTGGGTCTTAACAAGCTAAATATGGCTTGCATTACAACCAGTAATTATACTCTGAGGTTATTTACCCAAATGAGTGGAAATCTTTTCTTTTTTTATTCTGAGAGAATTTCACAGCATGTACTCCAATCCTACTCATCTCCCAGTCCCTCTATATCCACCTCTCCTTCTTGTAGTGTCCCCCAAAAGGAAAATAAACAATAATAATAAAAAGGAAAACATTTCACTCCTCCATCTTTCCCATCTCCCCATTGCTTCTTCATTCATCATAGTGGCATTAGGAGCTGCTGTAGATTGTATCATTCAGTCTATACTTCTGTCCAAACAGCTTCACTTGCAAATGTTCACTGTGTATTAAGTTTGTTGGTCAGGTTCAAGGCCTATGGCTTTGGTACACCTTCAATACTTGACCCCCACTGACATTCCTCTCTGATATCCTGCTGTTGGCCCTAGTTGTAGAGATCCTGCAGCTATGGTTCCCCAGGATCAGTCCCTTCACACATTCCAGCAGCTCACAGATGGGGTAGATATTGGGGTGTGTCCACTACAAGTCCTGGAAGTATGCCAGGGTGGCAACTGAGTTGGTCAGTCCAGGCCACTGGGACTACTATTCTCAGGTGAGGGACAGGCCACTGAGGTTGGGATGGTCCCAGCAGTGACATGTCCCTCAAACTCCATGGCCACAGGTGGTAACCCAGAACCCTTTAGTGGCAACAAAGTCATCATCACAGACTCCGGCCTCTGTAAGACCACAGACTTAGACATGGTCCTCAAAAGCAGCCTGGACCCAGATGGCACCATGGACCCAGAGGGCAGTACAAGCCAACAAGTGGAAATTGTATGTTCACACAAACCTGTAAGACACCAGGATGTTCTCTGATCAGTGAATGGATGAAGAAAATGTGCTAACATAGTACATCATTGTTTGGCAATTCTAAGGTTTGAACTATTGGCCTTGGGGAGACGTGAAACTTAAATGTACAGTCCAAAAGGATTATCTCAACTATACTGAAACCATAAACAATGCAAAGATCAGTGCTCATCAAGGGGCTAGCAGAAGGGATGAGTTTGTGTGTGGAGTACAAGGCATTTTTAGGGCAGGAAACTATTGTGCTGGATTGTGAAATAGCAGATACATGGCATGACAGATTTGCTAAAATTCCTAGAACTCTACAGTACTACAGTGAAATTCTGTAGTGTAAACTATGTACTTTAGTGACACATCATTATCATTTTCATAAATTGTGGCCAAAATACCTCACTAATGTAATGGTAGAAAAAAACTGGGAGTTTAGAGAGCTGGTACATAATTATATAATTTTCCTATAAAGAAAAACCATTGAAGTTTATACTAAGATATCTAAAAAAGGCCAACTCAGTCAGAGTTCTCTAGCAGAATAGAACTGATCCAATGAAATAAAAACATAGGCTTGTTTTGGTTAGGATTGCTGTTACTGTGACAAAAGCCATGATCAAAGAGCAAGTTAAGGAGTGTTTATTTGGCTTACACTTGCAGATTATAGTCCCTCCATGGAGGAAGTTAGACAAGAACTCAAGCTGCTGCAGAGGCTATGGAGGGGTGCTGCTTGCTGTCTTGCTCTCCTGGATTGCTCAGGCTGCTTTCTTATAGAACCCAGGATCTGATCTGAAGCCCAGGGATGGCACCACCCACCATGGGCTGGGCCCTCCTCCACTGACCACTAATAGAAAAAAAATGCCTTACCACAGGATCTCATGAAGGCATTTCCTGAACTGGGGCTCCTTCCTCTCTGATGACACTAGCTAGTGTCAAGTTGACACACAAAACCCCATGCAGTACAGGCAACGTCACTGGGACCAAGAACCTGGGGCTAGTTACATTATAGTGAAGGACCTATTACTACTACACTGCTAAAGGGACAGAATGAAAACTGGATCCCATGACTTATCCTTATACCCACACATCAGCATGTTTCTAAAGCCTCATCAGTGGAGCTTCCTTTTGAATAGATGACAACTAACACAGAGACCCACAACTAATAGCTTTTAGCAGCCACTCCTTCTGAATTCCAAACATGTAAGCTGACATGAAGGTTTCAAGGTAAAATAAAAAGTGTAGTGTTTTCCATTTTAACACAACTTTATATTAAATGTCACACAAAGGTGAAGGTGTTTACTTAACAACAGTCAATGAGCCACCAAGTTTAGTAACTGTTCCTCTACAGGATCAACTTTTTGTTTTGTTTTGTTTTTGTTTAGTTCCAGTTTTATGGCAGTTTTAACACATATGATTATCTTTAAGCAACTGAGGGACCCTCTCTTGCTTCAGTTATATGTGGCATATTTTAAGTGTTCATACAGTTTTATGGCAGTTTTAACACATATGATTATCTTTAAGCAACTGAGGGTAGATACTCTTGCTTCAGTTATATGTGGCATATTTCAATTACATGCTTTCTTTCTCAAAGGATTCTTTAATTCTTGCACTTTCTTGATTTCCCTTTGCAATTCCAACACCACCTCAACATCTCCTGTCTTTTCTCTTACCTCTTGAATCTTAAGGTTCATTTTGCGCTTTGTGGTCTTTAGCTCCTCCTCAATAACAGCTGCATTCTTCTAAAAAGAGAAGGAGGAAAGATCTAATAACCTGAAATGACAGGAAGAAACTGTCTCTAGTTGTATCAGGTCAAATTCAGTCTTCTTTTCTCTTGGCAGCTTATAAGTGCTATTATTTAGTTTTTGCACGTGCCTATGTGTGTACATGTGTGCATATGTATGTGTAGGTACATGTGTGTATGCATGTATGCATATACATGTGTACATATTGTGGGTACATGTGTATACATGTGTGTATATGCATGTTTACATGTGTGGATACATGTATCTACATGTGTGTATGTGAATGTGTATGTGAATATGGGTACACATGTGTGCATGTGCATATGTGTATGTGTGTGTGTGTACATGTATGTATATGGGTACATATATGTGCATGTGCATATGAATACACATTTGTGTACATGTGTGCATATACATGTGTGTATGTGGGTGTACATGTATGTATGTGCATGTGCATGTGTATATGGGTACACATGTGCACATATATACAAGCGCATGTGGCGGTCAGAAGTTGACAATGGGTGTATCCCTGGATTACCTTCTGTCCTACATATTGAGTAAGGGCCTCTTACAGGGATCTTGTTCCTGCCTTCTGAACATTAGAGCTGCCTTGCCTGCTTACAATTCATATATGTCATGGGGATTCAAACTCCATTCCTCTCAATTAGATAACCTTCATTTCTTTTTGAGATTTATTTTTATGTGTGTGAGTGTTTGGCCTGCATGTAGATATATGTACCATGTACATGTCTGGTGTCCCAGAGGCCAGAAGAGGGTGTTGGATCCCCTAGAACTGGAGTTACAGACATTTGTAGGAATCAAACATTGAGTTCTGGGAATCAAACCTGGGTCCTCCACAAAAGCAAAAAGTGCCCTTAACCCAGTAAATGGAGAGACAGAGAGAGAGAGAGAGAGAGAGAGAGAGAGAGAGAGAGAGAGAGAGAGAGAGAGAGAGAGAGAGAACAGAGACACAGAGAAGAGACACAGAGAGAGACTTACTATGTATAGACCAGGCTGGCTTAGAACTCATAGAGATATGGCTGCTTTTTAAGTGCTAGAATGTACTTTAGAAGGCATATAACACCATTATCAGTTTCAAATACTATTCATACTTAGGAATTCAGAATGAAAAATGCAGTTTTCAATCATTATCAATGGCAACACCATCCTAGATATAAAGACTTAAGTAGTGGTTGCCTTCTTTCCTACCTCCAGTTTCTATCTTGTACCTGATTCTAGAATATCTTTCATAAAATATCCTTTGCTTTCAAAATGTCATAATTCTAGTTCTGACCTATGGAGACTCATAACTCAACACAAAAGATGCCTACTTGGTTTCTTTGCTGTCAATCTCTCCTCTCTCCATAGTCAGGATACAATAACATCTAGTTCGTTTTTCTTCTTGTCCGTGCATGGTTCTGCATCAAAATTCTTAATCAGTCCCCACTGGGTTTTCCAAAGAATTATTCATGATTTTTAGATACTCTGAAATGTGAAATTAGCTAGTACTCAGCTTACTTGCCACAAATTCTCACTCCACTCAACCTGCAGTTTACACATTTTTACCCAATGGTACCCAGCAGAAAAGTCTGAGTAACAGGAAGAGGACAAGCACAGGATGATTGTGGCCAGGAGACCTCTCTCAGGCCTACTACTACTATTAAATGAAACAGACTTTTATTTAATAATGTGCTCTTTCTTAAGGCCTTTCAAAATAATAATCTGATTTATTACCCTGTCTAGTTGATGGGAAGAGAACAACGTTGCAGGTTTCCTTTCTAAGCAGTAGTCCTCTTTGCTGCCTGTGAATGTGTTCCCTGACATGCCCTTAGGCACTTTGCCTTGAGATCAAGTGTATCTTTTCTGAAGTTGACCTGATCTATATTGGCCACAGATTCTCCTCCTCTCAAACATGCCTAAACACAGTCTTTCGGTGCAATGTTCACTCACTGTTCTGTTTACTATTTTGACTTTTTCCTATTTAATTTGTAACCTCCCAGCTACAGGTAGCTCTTAAAGAGGACAGAGCCTGGATACAATCTTTTATACACAGCAAGGTGATGTATGAATAACCACTGAAAACACACACTAATGGAGATTATCAGTGCAGACAAATTTCAAATGCTAAGAATTTAACATCAACATCAACCATTTGTAACTCAGTCTTAAGGAGCTGTTGCCTTTTTCAGGGAAACTGCACTTCAGAACACTCAATACAAACCTTTGTCTCAGAGGCGATTTCCAGAGTGGCAGTCAATCTTTGCACTTCATCTTGTGCCTTGTCTTCTTCCTCCTTGACATTTTTCAGTTGCTGGCGCAAATTCATCACTTCAAGGTGCAACAGATTCAGGTCTGTGGAATGTTCTTCCTGTATTGTATTCAGCTGATCCTTTAGAAAAGCTATGTATAGCACAGGATAGAGCAGAAAGGTGAACAAAGGCACAGAAAGACAGGACAGAGGAGAAGGGTGAACAAAAGCACAGAATCACAAAAATATCAAGCACCTACACAGAACCAAATTCTCTGCAATCTCTGGAATCCTCTTCTACCTATACCTGTTTTCTGTGGATTCAATTCCTGTTCAGTTTGTAGGCGACAGATGCTCATCTTCAATGACTGGATGAGGTTTTCCAAATGGCACATTCGATTTACCAGAAACTCACAGTTCTTCCATAAAATATCTGTTTTATCTGGACAAATTACTTCACTTCGGATAGGACTAATGACTTTCTGGCTGGCAGGGTCTTCGAAATAGTGTGAAGTTTCCAACTGACCTCTGGAAAAGCACCACAAAACAATATTACATAATGCAGTTTCTCCTTGGTGAAACCAGTCACATAAGCCAATGTAGCCTTTCTAATTAGAATTGCAGTGACATCAGCAACCTGGTTGAATATGAGGCTCCTGACTCCCTTAGACAAGAATGCACCTAGTAAGCATCTAACAGATCAGTTCCTTCTAAGAGTGTCAGAAACAAGATAAGCCTCTTCCACACTGGGCAATTATAAATATCCACACTGGAGGTATAGAAAAGACTGAGGTGCTGGGTGTTAGTGGCGCACACCTTTAATCCCAGCACTCGAGAGGTAGACGCAGGCAGATCTCTGTGAGTTCGAGGCCAGCCTGGTCTACAGAGCAAGTTCCAGGACAACCTCCAAAGCAATACAGAGAAACTCTGTCTCAAAAAAAGAAAGAAAGAAAGAAAGAGAGAGAGAGAAAGAAAGGGAAAGGAAAGGAAGGAAAAGAAAAGAAAAGAAAAGAAAAGAAAAGAAAAGAAAAGAAAAGAAAAGAAAAGAAAAGAAAAGAAAAGAAAAGAAAAGAAAAGAAAAGAAAAGAAAAGAAAAGAAAAGAAAAGAAAAGAAAAGAAAAGAAAAGAAAAGAAAAGAAAAGGGAAAAAGAAAAGGCTGAGGTACAGTTAGATTCAACCCCTACTCAGGGCTGGACAACTAGAACAAAATCTCCAACTTTCCAATTTCCCTAAGGACAGAATCAGGTAGAATATGCCCATCCTAGCTCTTACATTCTCAGTGCTTTGGGCCCTGAATTCTCCTGGACATATGAACAAAGGGATTAAGAGTATGCATGCCTCTAGAGCATAGAACAAAATGACAGTTCTATAGATATGCACACTGCCAAGGGGTCTTGATTCCCCAAGGAAGAAGATCCTAAAAGGGGTTTGCCAGTGTTCTCTCCTCCTGCTGCTGACAAGTGAGTTAAGTAGACCAAAGTTTGGGAGCTCCAAAGCCTAGAGAAGCTCAGCAGTTGTAAACAGGAGTACAAGCACAATCAGAGTCTCTACTCCTAGGGATCCTTGCTAACAAGGAGCTAGAACACACAGCTCCTAGTTTCTGCATTGAAAGGATTTCTCTGTATATGCTTGCAGTGAGCTGGCTTCTAGCTAACTTGCATGCAGAAATGTGTTGGTTTGAATAAGTATGATCCCCCCATAGACTCATGTGTTTGAATGCCTGACCTATAAGGAGTTGTAGTGATATATTATTTATGATTTATTAAAGCTTAACTGAGGATTCAGAAAAGCAAAGTCAGCCATAAGCCATAGAAGCCAGGCACACACCTTTAATCCCAGCAGCCAGAAGCTAGGAGATGATGGTACATACCTTTAATCCATAGGACTCAGTATTAAGAGACAGATTTCTATGAGTCCAAAGTCACAGATCTACACAAGAGTCAATCAGTCTAAAAGAGAATTATAGCTCACACCTTTAATTCCAACATTAGAGAAGTATATAAGACAGAAACAAGGTCTCAGACAGGAATTCATTCTCCAGCCATGCTGAGGAAAAGTTACAGTCTGAGGCTTGGTGAGAGCTTGTGGAGACAGGATCAGCCCATTCAGCCTGAGGTAAAGGTAAGAAGCTAGTGGCCAGCTGCTTTACTTTTCTGATATTCAGCTTGAAACTTGAACTCCAATATCAGTCTCTGGGTCTTTTATTCATTGTGTTACATGGAGTGGCACTATTAGGAGAGGTGGCCTTGTTGGAATAGGTGTGTCTCTATGGAGGCAGCTAACTTGCATGCAGAAGTATGGTGGTTTGAATAAGTATGACCCCATAGACTCATGAGTCTATGAGGTCTCAAATGCTCAAGCTATACCCAGTGTGGGAGTCAGTTCACTCCCTACTGCCTGCAGATTAAGATGTAGAACTCTAAGCTCCTTTTTCCAGTACCATGTCTGCCTGTGTGCTGCCTTGTTTCCAGCCATGATGATAATGGTGCTAACCCTGTGAAATCGTAAGGCAGTACCAATTAAATGTTTTTCTTTATAAGAATTGTCATGGCCATGGTGTATCTTCACAAAAACAGAAACCCTAACTAAATCAGGAAGTACAAAGCAAACAAATAATGGAACTCCAATTGCCTGAAGGAAGCACAATATTTCCTGGGCCTTTCCCAGTCTCACTGTGGTGACAACTACAGTTCTACATATCCTTCTGAAATGATTCTAAGGCTGAGTGTCTCCACTTCTATAGATTCTACACAAAGAACTATATCTTTAACCACCTAGCTCTGGGACTTGATTAGGCTCTGAATTTCTGAATCTCCCTAGACCACCAAAAAATAAAGAGGTGGACATATGAGCCCACTTCCAACAGCTATTTCCCAGGATGGAAGGTGCAGTGTAAATGACAGCAGACATTCAACAAAGATGTTCTTGCAAGTTAGTGCAGACAATAGGCAATACATGTCTGCTCTCAGCTTCACCCTGAGGATGGAGGAACTGGAACATGAATCTAGCTGCAGCTAAATGGCCTGCCCTTTTTCTTATCTACTGCAAAAACCATATGACTGTTTCAATAAACACAGAATAAATTGACAAATACAACACCCTTTCATTAAAAGCTGTCACCAAACTACACATAAGAAGAGTGTTTCTCAACACAGTAAAGGTCATAAATGAGAGGTCCGAAGTTAATACCACAATTGTAAAAAGTTGAAGGCGTTCCTCTAAGACTAGGATGTCTAATTTCACCACAAGTATTCAGCAGAGAGTTGGAGAAGCCCTAGCAGAGCAATTAGGAAGCAACAAAAATTAAAGATATTGAATCAGAAAAGGAATTAAACTGTCCCATTCTACTATAGATAACCATGATTAGAAGACATTAAAGAGGGGTCTGGGGAGGTGGCTCAGCCAAATGCTGCCTTGTAAGCAGTAAAACCCATGTCCTGAGTTCAGATCCCCAGCACCCACACCCACACCCTGAGTTTGGATCCCAGGCATGGAGGGAAACTGGCCATGCATATGTGCACAGGCCAGGGGTTAAGGGTTGACACTGAGTGACTTCCTCAATCTCTACCTTGTTTTGAGACCAGGTCTCTCACTGAAATTATAACTCACCAATTAAGCTAGCCTCACTGGCTAGTAATCCTCCTGTCTCCACCACCCCAGCACTAGGATTACAAGCACTGATATGCCCAGCTCTGAAGTGGGGGATGGGATGGGGAGCATGGGTGTGGGTGTGGGTGCTGGGGATCTGAACTCAGGTCCTCAGCAAGCAATTTACACTGAGCCATTTTTCCATCCCTTTGGTTCTTTATTTTATCTGAAGTTAAAAAAACATTCTATATAAATCAACACAAAACATGTGATACATAAGACATGGTAAATATTAATTTTATAATGGTAACTTAGGAATTAAAGTTAGTATAGAAGCAATATATTCATTTTTAAAAATATTACATAAAATAATGAAATTTCCTGTTGTTTTATCAAAATACTCAGAATTTATACTAAATTTAATCTTTAAATGATAAAAGTAATTTATGGGTCCTACAATAGCAACTATACTACTATTATGTTTTAATGTGAGACACACAGAAAATGCATATGACCTCTCTAAAACAAATCACACCAATAAATTCTGTATTGGCTGCATAAATATGTATATCCCTATTAGCAAGGCAACTAACTTTAAAACAACAACAAAAAATTCTTTAGCAATATGGGGGAAAAACAGTTCTGTAATAGTTTCTCATTATAAAGCATGAAACAGGTTAAGGATTTCAAATGTGCCTTTTAATTTATAATAAATATGATAGAAAAAATGAAGACCAAATCAATGGCATGAATCATTTTGGTTCTTCTTTAAACTGATATCCAAATAAAATCTAAAATAGTGTTTGTGGCTGTATGTTATGATTTGTATATAAAGTGATCCCCATGGGCTCAAATGTTAAAGGCATAGGTACCCAGCTGGTGGACCCAACAATGCAAAAGTAACAGAACTGAGAGTTAACATAGGTGAGTTCACACTGAAGACGCCATTAGGAGCTGGGGGACTGCTAAAGGAAATCTGTGTCTTCTTCCACTCGCCTAATCCTACCCTTTGTGGCTGCCATGAGGTACTAGGTCTGCTCTGATTAAGTCTTCTCTGCCATGACACTTTGTCTTACCTTAGGTCCACAGTGATAGGGCCAAGCACCAAGAACTCAAACTTCTGAAGTGGTGAGCCAAAAGAAAAATCCTTCCTCCCTTAGGATGTCCTCAAGGGCATTATGTTATAGCAACAAAGACCTGACTAACATCTGGTGGTGTTCTGAATGAGATTTGCCCACAAGTCTCAGGCATTTGAGTACTGGTGGGTTAGGAGTGTGGACTTGTTGCAGGAAGCATGTCACTGAGGGTGGACTTTGAGGTTTCAAAAGGCTCCTGTCATCCCCACTGTTTCCTGGTTTTTCAAGAAGTGAGCTCCCAGCTGCTGCTCCAGCTGCCTTCTGCTTTCTAACTCCAGTCTACCATCATGGACTCACAGCCCTGAGGAACACTAGGCCCCAAATAAGCCATTTCTTCTGTAAGTTGTCTTGGTCAAGGTGTTTTATCACAACAACAGAAAATGTTAAAATCACATCTCTATCATAGATGGCAACTCTATCTAAAAATATGTTTGCATCAAAGTTCATATGGAAACATTTTCCAAAAGCATCTACCTTGTCTGCTTTTTACTAAGCATCAAATTAAAATTCTTCAAACTGAAGCAATCTAGCTAATTTGTCCATTACCGTTTGTCACCATAGCCCAGCATTATTAGGTCATCTCTCAGAGAACTGGTCTGTTCCTCAACAATTCTCATCTTCTCCTGAAGTACTGTGAATGTCTCAGAAGCTGTAGCATTGATATGGGTTGGAGACAGGACTGGTCTGCGCACTGTAGTTTCCATACGCATCTAGGGTCACATGGTTACAATGTTAGCACAGGAGGTTCTCTTACTGTTGGAAACAGTCACTGGCTCTTCCTTATTTACTAGGGAATGGATGTGGGTCTGTTTTGCTCAAATATGAAGAGAAGTTTTAAAAACCAACTTTTCATTCACCATCTTTTTTCTCCCCCCTTCAAGAGAAAAGCAACATCCCAGATAGATTTGTTCCATGGGCCAGGGTCTCAGAGTGACAATGACATGAAACATCCAGACATACAATGAGTAAACAGTAGACCTACATAGCTGTGGTAAGTGATTGAGACTGTTGAGTACTTTGCTATCACATCATAATCTAGTCTACTCTATTTGCTGTTAGTAGTCACATACTAGGGACCTAAGACATTTGAGGGACATTTCTCTATTGTTACCACTTATTCCTATTGTAACATCATAGTTTATTAGGTATCCTCCAAAAGGCTGATACTGAAGCCTTGGTATCCAGCATTGTGGATCCAGTTGGGGAAGGTTGGTCTTGAGGACACAAACTTCATCACAGAGCTAACCCCTTGATTACTTTACACTAAATAAGCTATAAGGAACTTAAACCTCATTAGAGGTAGAAGTAGCACACTAGGCACATGTCCGTCAAGAGGCCCACTTGCCTAGATTCCCACTCATCTCTTCCCTTTGCCTCCCAGAGAGTAGCGGTGCTCTGATATCCTGTCATGATGCTCTCTCTGCCTTGTTACAGGACTACAACGATGGGGTCAAGTGATCACAGACCCAAAACTGTGAAAACATGAGCTTTGATAAATCCTTCTCTCCCTTAAGTTTATGTATTAGACTTTCTGTTACTATGACAAATAACTGAGGAAAAATTAAAAGGAGGACCTACTTTAGTTCACAAACTAAGAGGCTTCAGCCCAGCATCACGAGAAGGGTGTTGCAGAGCAGAGCAGCTCATAACACAGTGGCCAGGAAGTAGGGAAAGAGAATGTCTGCACTAGCAGGCTTTCTGTTTTCCTCCCTTGACCTGAGTTCAAGCTCCGAAACCCATGTAAAAAGCTGGATACCCTAACCCTTATATGCCATCCTAGAGCCTTCATTCAGTAGCTGATAGAAGCAGAAGCAGAGACCCACAGCTAAACACTAAGCCAAATTCCTGGAATCCAGTTGTAGAGAGGGAGATGTGATGAGCAAAAGGAGTCAAGAACAGGCTGGAGAAATCCACAGAAACAGTTTACCTGAACAAGGGGGAGCTCATGGACCCCAGACTGACAGCTCAGAAATCAGCATAGGACCAAAACAGGCCCCCTGAATATGGGTATCAGTTAAGAGACCTGGGCAATCTATGGGGCCTCTGGTAGTGGAACAGTATTTATCCCTAGTGTACAAATGGACATTGGGAGCCCATTCCCCATAGAGGGATACTCTCTCAGCCTAGACATATGGGGGAGGGCCTAGGCCCTGTCCCAAATGATGTGACAGACTTTGATGATCCCCCAGGATGACCACCTCCCCATGGAAGGCCTCACCCTTTCTATGGAGCAGAAGAGGGATGGGATGGGGATTGGTGGGGAGCATTGGGAGGGAGAGGGAACTGAGATTGATATATCAAATAAGATTGTTTCTAATTTAAATAAAATTTACTTACAAAAAATCATAAAAATAAAAAAATCTGGATATGGTGGCCTTGCATTTATAAGCACAGCACTGGGGAAGTAGAGACAAGACTTGCTGGTCAGCCAGCCTAATCTAATTGGTAAATTTCAGGGCAAATGAGAGAATCTGTCTTAACAGACAATGTGACCTGATGCTAACCTATGGCCTCCAAATGCACACACTTTCCAAATAGACACACTGCATACAATTATTAGCTTACTGTTTGTCTACACTGAAACAGCAGTGTTCAAAGACACCTTACAAACTTATTTTCATAAGAGGAGCAAAAACTCTTTATAGGCAAATTTCCCTAGTCTGATCTCCTTAGTATCAGTGAAACTAAGGGGAAGTAGGATATGTTTTAGCAAGATGTTCATTTAAGAGTACCTAATACACTTATGCATGGCAAAAAAAAAGAACAAAACAAAGAAAAAAATACTATTGTACTACTAGAATGTTTGATGGGGAAGGAGATGTAGTTTATTGGTAGAGTATTTTGCAATGTAGCCCTGTTTGGCATGAGCACTACATAAACATGACTTGGTAGTACATGCCATGCCAGGAGTTGGAAGGTAAAGGCAGGGTAATCACAAGTTCAAGGCATTCTTGGCTAGATAATACATCTAAGGCCAGTCTGTCCTACACGAGACCCTGTCACAACAGACAGACAACAATAACAACAAAACCCCACTTAAATGTTTGAGGAAGGTCACCAATGGAGATGTGGCAGAGTAACTACAAAGCACACAGAACATCATGACTTTATAAGGAAGATAATTAATCACATCATATCTATTGTCCAGTGTCTTCAGCTTATGGGCATGAATGAAAGCTCACATCTACTAACTCTTTTTCATGTCTTCAATTTGTAAAGCAGAAGACAAAGACACAGGCAGATGTTAATGGAGTGTCTGGACATACGTCTGACTTTTCTATTGCTGTGATAAGACACCAGGACCAAGACAACTTATAGAAGGGGCTTACAGTTTCACAGGGTTAAAATCCATGACCATCATGATAGTGTGACAGTAGGCAGGAAGGCACGGCATTTGAGCAGTAGCTGAGAACTTACATGATGAGATAACAACCATGAGGCAGAGAGACAAAGCTAACTGGGGATGGTGTGAGCTTTTGAAATCTCAAAGCCTGCCCTCAGTGATACACCTCCCCAAATAAGGTCACACCCCTTGATCATTCCCAAACAGTTCCACCAACTGAGATCCAAGCATTCAAATATATGAGCCTATGAGAACCATTCTCATTCAGACCACAACTGACATTTCCTGAAAGAAAAAAACAAAAAACAAAAAACAAACAAACAAAAAACCATAGAATATGGAGACTCTTCGTCATCCTACTACATTAGCCAGATGGTGTTTCTTGTGTAGCAGGAAAGCAGGCCCTCAAAGTAGCCCTACAGAACTGGCTGCAGGTCTGGAGCAGTCTAAGCCACATGGAGAGAAAACAGAGCAGTGCAGTGGAGAAATAACACATAGTTACTGCCACTCTATTTTATGCCAACTGCTGATCTTGTGTTTGTTTACAAAGTGGGAGGTAGGGGCAGAGCAAATATAGAAAGGGAGTTTCATGAGGCTTGTACAGATACCACTGACTCCTTTGTCTTCTCTCCAAAAGACACTGGCAAGGCGACATGGCCAGCACCCTCTGCAGCTGGCACATCCAGGTGATGCATGCCAGCCAATATGACTTCAAGCAGAAATGAACAAAGGTTCTGGGAAGACTTTTGGTTTTCTGACTAAAAGAACAGAAATTATAGCCCTGTTACTTCTTTCTCCCCTATGAGGCCAAGTTTTCAAAGCTCTCCTGCAGTCAGCAATTGTGCTGGTTTGAATGAGAATGTCCCCCACAGGCTCCTAAGCTGGAATGCTTGGTTCCCAGCTGGTGGGACTATTTAGGAAATATTAGGAGGTGTAGCCTTGTTAGATGAGTTGTGTCACTGGGGTGGGCTTTGAGGTTTCAAGAATCTTTCCCAGTTAGCTGTCTCTGTCTCCTGCCAGTAGATGGATATGTGAGCTCTCAACTACAGCTCAAGCGTCATGCCTGCTTGCCTATCATGCTCTCCAACATAATGGTCATGGATTCTAACTACCAAGTTAAATACCTCCTTTTCTATTGTTGGTCATGGTGTTTTGTTGCAGCAGTTGAAAAGTAACATGGCCATGTAGTACTTACATAAAAACAGAGACATGGTTCGCCAGCATCTTAGTCTCTGTTCCTGCTGCTATGATAAAACACTAAGACACAAACAACTTAGGGAGGAGGGGTTTACTTTCTTCCACAGCACAGGATACAGTCCACTGTGGCAGGGAAGTCAAGACAGTGGCAGCTCAAAACACCTGGTAATCCAGCTATTGGTAAGTTCTTTTTCTCTATTTTATAGAATACAAATCTCTTCTCATGGGATGGTGCCACCCTGTCTTAATTTAGAAAATGACCCATGAACATGGCTCAGAGGTCCATCTTCTAGGTTATTCTAGATTCTGTCAAGTTAGTAGCACTAAGCATCATAATTCCATTCCTTGTCAACTTGACCCTTGTCTCCAAAGGCTCATGACCATTTTATAGTTAGCATTCATTCAGTATAACTTTAAAAATCCAAAGGCTCTTATCTTAACTGTGAGTTCCTATAGCATCAAAAGGTGCAAAATTCAAACACAGAACAGCACAGAGTAAATATTCCTATTCCAAAATGGGAACAACTGGGGTATGGCAAAAACAATTAAACCAGACTAAAGCCAAACTCCAAGGCAAATGAATTCTACACTCTAAGCCTTGCAGTTGGGGCTTCCTATAGAATCAACAGAGTTCCAAGAGGCTTAGGTAGCTCCGGTCTACTTGTTCTGTTGCATTCAGCACATATCGAGACTTTCTTGGTCTGTCAGTTCCACTCGATATTGCTATATCTCAGTCAATAGCTAATGGGAAAACAGAGAGAAGAGTGAAGGACAGGAGGGAGCAATAGTGTCACTTTTGTATTCTTTATAAGGGAACATCTGTAGAATCTGCATGTATACCTTTAACAGTTTGGAGTGCCTCAGGAAGGTGAGACTCAGTGGCCTCAAAGTATGAAAATCCTATTGCACAGGGGCAATGAGGGAAATGTGAAGGAAACCAAAGAAAAGAAGTACAAGCCTTCTGTCAGAGGCAAGGATCACCACTCACCACACAGGAAACACTCAACTTTGGAATTATTGTCTCTGTCTTCCATTCCTACAGAAGGTTCTAGTTGCAGATGAAAGCAGGAAAGTAGATTTGGGGGAAATTTTAATCCTCTATCCTCCCAGACTGCTGACTCTCTGAATAAATTCTTACCCCTACTCACTGGCATCCCCGGTGACAGGCAT